CAAAGCGGTTAAAATCTTTGTTTTTTTTTTCTTTTTTTTATTTGGTGCGAATGAGACAAAGGGCCCACTTTGCGATGACTTTGGAAGCCCACATCCCCTCTCCGATATCCTCTTTTTAACTACCGAACAATAAACAGCCATTCTGGCAGCTCTCAGGAGGCGCCCTACCCGAAACAACCTTTCCGCTTCGGCCATCTTTCGTTATCAATTGGGTCGGTTCGTTCGTATTGTTCGTTAACAGTTGGTTAGGTTCAAGTGTCCAATGTCTGTCCTCCTTGCTTCACCTCACTTCTCCCTCTCCCGAAACAACGTTGGAGACACGGCACCGTAAGATAAAAGCTGTGTCAGGGAGAGCTCACCCGAACATTAATAGCTTCATGGATCTGATCAAACGGGATGAGGCCTTCACGAGACATAATTAAAAATAAAACAACGCAAATACGAGAACAAAGTAAAAGATAACCGACAGGATACAGCACTGTGTCCTGTCGGTTATCTTTTACTTTGCCCATCGTATTTGCGCCATTTTGTTTTTATTATGTCTGCATATCAATTGTAGCCCAAACTTGTACGTTAATCAACCTTGACAAGGGTACCTTCGCAGCAGCTTGCAAATAGTGGTGCCGTGCGGGCCAGGGGACAGCCGCGAACTATCAAAATCGGAGTGTCGCCTTTCTGATGGTGCGATTGTCCTGCTCGACGTCCTCAACAAAGGCGATAGCATTTTGTAGTTTATGGATTTTTCCTGTGAGCGCGAGGGTTTTGTGTTTGAACTCGTAAGAAAATGAAGTCGCCATCATATGCCCTGATAACTTCTCTGATTTCTCACTCTTCAACATATCCCGTTCACTATAAGGAAGTTTCAGAATAACGTCCGTAAGCGCTTTGGGAAACCTAAAAATAGCGTCGCGATTATAAAACCTAAGGCAGCGCTAATTTTTGTTTACTCAAAGTGCTTGAGCGCGACACTGCTAGCGCGAACAAGCGATTGCAGTTTTTCGCAGTTTGTCTCGAAGAATGAAATGACTGCCATCAGTATTATTAGTGTCTTTGAAAGTGCTCATCTGGGCCAGTAAGCTAAGCGGGATACAACTTGGTACCTTCTAACACCATTTCGAAGTAACATTTAAACAATCGTCTACATCGTGTTCGCGGTAACATTGTCGCGTTTCGTAGTCCCACATTTTGGGGACCATCTTGACAGAAACATTTCAAGTGGTTCACGTAGAAATATCTTTCGTTGGAGCTTGTCTGAAAGTGATGTATAGCTTAAGAATACGTTGACAATAAAAACTAGTTCACAACATAACTAAATAGCCCGCCGGCACCTTTGCTTTAATTGCATTAACAAAATTTCGGCACCTATTTTTAATGAGAAAATGTGAGCAAACCAGGGTTAGAACGATGGGGACTTTTCGCGGAGAGTTTGAGATGTGCGGGGATTTATATACCAATGGGTTTATACGGGACTGGCGCAAACGTAAAGGTGTTTCGGGAACGGGTTGAAAAGGGACAGGTTCAAATGGGAAGGGCGATTCGGGAATTCTCCTGTATGAGCCTCGGCCGGTACACGGAAGCAGTCTTCCGGAGCTGGTCGGAGCGCTCGTCACGGTGCCCCGCTGTGTGTGCCGCCGAGTGGATTTTCTGCTAGTCGCCCCATTTTTGTGCAACTTCTGTTCTTGCTAAAATCGGTGTTAGGTGCAAAGTGCTATTCATCCGATCCTATCAACAACAGGCATCGGACGGCATAAAGCAGGTCCGACCCCATCAAGCACCCTAGGCAAACTCCTGCCGTTAACGCCCCCGGCGCCCCATTTCCTTCGCCTTTTTGTACGCTCCTCTCTACGACATCACGTAGTCAGTAAACATGTGAGTAGTAATCCAAAACGAGTATTTTTTTTCTGAAAAGAGCCGCCGTGTTTAAATAAATTAGTAAGCTAAAAAAACTTTCAAATGGGGGCGCAGCGGCGCAACCCTTTTGATGGCTTCCTGGGCGGCATCACGGGTCGCCTATCCCCGGTCCTGGTGTAAAGTCCTGGATATCGAAAAAATACGATGCTCTTTTTTTTCTTTGGGGCTAATTTGAAAGAGCAACTATTTTCTGCGGTTGCGGTCGTCACGAACGTTTACAGTTAGGGTCGATAGGTCCTTATCAGTGCTCCATTTTCTTTTTTTTTTACTAACTGTCCCTAAGCCCAGTTTGCACGCTTAATCACGCTCGGAATGTGTCGTTAGCCTACTGTTGTCCTTATTGATTTGTGTTCCCTACACCGCGGCTTCGACTTATCATGAATAGATCTATCCTTTTCACCCATAAGAGCGTCGCCTCTTTTACTATTAGTTACACTAAACTCGGTCCTAACATTTCTCCACCAGATAACCTATCCTTGTAAGTAATTTTTTTATCAATTTCTTCATGCCCGGAGTGATTCGTGACCCACCTCTAATATCCCTGCTTCAAGTGCGCTTGAAACTGGGTTTTAAGGGCTTTCAGAACAAACTCGTGAAAGAATCAGAGAAATCGGCTCGTAATCTCCACTCTGCGCATAGCTCGACAGAATGAACTGGTTCGCCGACTTTCTAAAAGAGTTAAATCGGAGAACCTTTTGCAGCATTCCCAAGAAGGGGTATACTGTAATTTAATGCATTATACCCCATTTTTTGGGAGTACCTCTAAATACTCCAAAGTGTGTATCCGTTCAGATGAGGAGAAAATTTGTCGACACCCGGTGACCTCACTCAAATTAGTGTTATATTCAATCAGTTTATTGCAAATCTCTTATGGTCGTGCAAAACATTACTACATTATTTGGGAAAAATAGAAAATAAAAGAGAGCACAGTAAATAAAACCAGTTTTCAAAATAATGGTCATGCAACAAATCTTACAAACTAATAACTCACAAAGATGTTAAACGGTTGTCTGAGTTCATATCCTCGGCCTTTCGCTGTGGAATGAGTGATATTCCAATTGGCGCAAAAGTAACATTCGTTCACTTTTGAAAGAAACCATAACGGTTTATCGTTACGTTCGAAGGACGGTAACGAATATCAGTAGCCCGTTAAGTTTTGACAATAGGGAATTGTAGTAGACCGTTTCCGCAGCCCGCTAAGCACCCGGATAGCGCTCCGTATTCCGCCACAAGACCTTGAACTATGCAGACAAGGCTGGCGGCGCGCATGCGCAGCTGCGCCGTTTTCCTCGGGGATACCGTAGCGGAGAGGAAAAACGATCTACTACAACTCCCTAATCTAACGAGTGATTCTATATTGTTACATGCTTTCTGTAACGGGCACACCGGTGCTTGGGTCCCACTGGTGCAGAAAGCCCAACAATCAACATCGGAGCACGGCCCCTTGAAGTTCACAGTACGGTGGGAGCTACGCGTTTGACGAGCCAGACAACCAACTCGTTTTCATCTCCTGACCACGCACTCTGCGTGGATATGGCTGGGAGCACGGACATGCTCGTGCTCGTAGGTTCTACCACTAAACCAGCTTACGCCCTTTGCACCTGCCACCAATGAAAATGTTTAGCGTTCAATATAATTTTGTAAGTAATTTTGAATGAATAAATTGCACACTATTGATTTGAAGGGCCTGGTTTCAAATAGGATCTTGCTGTTATGATCGAAAACTACTAAAAACACCCACGCTGCAATGATATGAGGCACGCGCAGCATTCTACGACGTTCCGAAGAAATGCTCAATTTGAACGCGTATGTAGGTTTCGATTTCTTATCGAAGCACATCTCTGTGCCGGCGATCCCGCCCCCCGTGTCTAAGACGCGCAACGTATGTGCGCCGCCACTCATCGCGCGTAGAGAAGTCTACATAAAAAAGCTTCCGGACAGTCATATGAGGTCCGCCTTTTGGACATCGGTGCGAGAGTGAAGACGCACCTTCACGAGCAATGCGTGCCGGTGCACGCACGTTGCGCGCTTTAGACACGGGGGGCGAGATTGCCCACGCGGAGATGCTCTCCGATAAGAAACCGAAAGCGAGATACGTGTCCAACTTGAGCATTTGTTCAGAACTCCGTAAAATGCTTAGCGTGCCTCATGCCATTTTAACATGGGTGCATTTAGTCGTTCTCAATGATTCCGAGCAATGTTATCTTTGAAACCATTCCTTTAAAACTAATATTTAACAATTTAAGTACACGGAATTTATTCATCATCCCATTATATTCAGCTCTAACAATTTTCCTTGGACAGACCGCTACGGCATCATAATTCTCTTTTGTGCCGTGCGTACTTTTTGCAGTGGAACGTTTGCCCGTTTTTTTTTTTTCTGGAAACATCGTGTATATGTTAAAACAAATATTTTATACGTTTGGGAACAGGACTCCCCCTCCTTCAATTCTGGCGCATCAGGCAATAGTGACAACCACTGTACAGTCAGAGCAGATTAAGACATATTTAGATGGATTATACATATGTAGTTTTTAGACACATAACTATATACACAATGGAGTCAATTATGCCTTTAGTACAACACATGTATATGATCCGTCCACTACAAGAGGAATTTCGAATATTTAAAATCCTGACGAATTCAAGTGAAACTATCATCGTTTAAGCTTAGGTCCGAGCGTGGCCGATGTTATGAGGCGAAGCGCCAATCAAACAGCGAAAGAGGCACACAGCCATGACGAGTTCTCTGCAGTTCATAGGACTCTAGGAGTAGCCGGTATTCGCCATCTCTCTCTGCGTGCTACTCCATCGGCTAGTTCTATCAAGCGCAGAGAGCAGGCCATGGCGTTGCGCTTTTTGCGCTGTTTTATTGGTCCTCCGGCTCAAAACATTGTCCGCGCTCGTACCTAAGGTGAAACGAAGTATATATGAACACCAAATGAATAGCACTGAAAGTATAAATGTCCTAAATAATCAGGACCGTCTTCGTGAATGCGCAAAAAAAACCATGCAAAAGGAAAACGTACATACGAGTATTACAAGTAGCAAGCACATTGAGTGATGTCATCAGAATTCAGATACTAAAACTGGTCAAAAAGAAAAGGACAAAGAATATTACGAAATGAGATAGGAAATTACACCGCATTTCTACATCTTCGAGTCATGTATATTCATTGCAGTCCTATGAGCAAAGCATTAGTTTCCAGCTTGGCGTGTTAAATAGTTTCGAATATAGCTTTATTTCTCATCTAAAAATTATGCTGACCCCTCCTCATTACTCGGTTGCTCTTATACTTTCTTAACATTAGCAATATTCAAGATTGCTGCTGTTGAAAGACCTTAGTTATTTTATGAGTTCGTATGTTTATGGTCATGAGGAGGCCGACTTGAAAGGAACGTAAGTGACCCTACAGACAACCCAGAGACGTCAGGTGCATCACGTGATTAATGACTCTAAATTAATAAAGAAACACAAGGCTTCAAGTATTTTCTTTTTTTCGTGTACAAAAAAGAACTCTGGTCGCTTACTCTAAGGTAAATTCACATTTTTTAGCTGTGTTTACGCGATCAGTAAGAGGAGGAAACATTTTGAACCATGCGAAACACACACTGCTCGCAAGTAAAACCCCTGCAGGTCTATCGCCAAACGATATGAACACATGTCGGCGCTCGAGTATTTCGTTTAAACACCTTTCACAACTATGATGCGCGTGAGGGTTTCGATCACTTGCGATGTATCTTTCGATGATTGCATAAACCGTTATCAGACGCAAATGCTCTACCGCAGGTCTCGCACTTGAACGGCTTCTCTCCGGTGTGAGTCCTCTCATGGTTCGCCAAACTGCCTTTCTGAGTAAATGCCCTGCTGCACGTGTTGCACTTGAACGGCTTCTCTCCGGTGTGAGTTCTAACGTGAGCCGTCAAGTTACCCTTCTTCGTGAATGTTTTCTCGCAGGCACCACAACTGAAGGGTCTCTCGCCAGTGTGAGTCCTCTCGTGGATGGCGACATCCGTTGCGGAAGGGCGTGAGTAAGGACAGAAGCGGCACGGGTGCTTCTTCGGTTGTCGGTGCTTCTGCCGCTTGTGTGGGTCCGACCAGTTGGTCTGGGGAGAGGTGTCACCTCTGCGGCTGTCGCGGTCAAAAGTATCCACCTGGTCGCCATAGCCTGCTCCGTTCCAGTCTGTTGGGATGGCAGGACAAAGCGAGAAATGTTCGCGCATTTTTAATTGTTCTGAACATGGTCCAGTATACCTACATTATGCCGGTGCGGCCTACAGTGGGTATTCATTCATTTGAGATGTTAAAAAAAATCATTCGCAAAGCTTGTAAATGTCTACAGGCGATCGTTTAAGACTCGATTCTGGCAGCCCTATGGTGCGGCAGCTGTGGTGGCTTGTGCGTTCTCCTAACCAAGTGCGGAAGGGGAGTCAAGCCGCCGCGGTCGCTGCTGCACAGTGTTGGCGGTAGCGTGTTACAAGTAACGTCGTTACCGGTAACACCTTACTTTTGTTATTAACGTGTAAAGTACTCGTTACCTTTCCAAGACAGTGACGGGTAACGTACTTACGTTAGTTATTTCAAGTAACGGATAACGTAATTACGTCACGCGTTACATCTTCCGAAAACTTGAAAACGAACACCTGTATTTTTGCCAGTTTTTATACTTCGTTTTACCTGAAGTCCAGACGCAGCTGACGCTACAGGCTGATGGGAATTATCAGAGAGAGGGGAAAGGGAACCATCATGTTGTTCTTTGTGTTCCTGTACGGGTTTAATCTTCGCTGAACCAACCGTAAACATTCATGTCCCAGTGACTTGTGATTTTGACGCTGCTTGATTTGTCCCATTAGTTCGTAGCGTCGGCTGCGTCTAGATTTAAGCTGAAACATAGTATGTGACCCAAGTAATTAATTATTGCACTCATTCTACATACTTTCTAAAATTTGCCTCTTTTTCTCACGCAAAAATTTTCACTTTAGGAAATCTCCAACGCCCGCGCCCGTCATCCCGGTGTCGAAAAACGCTGTCACAAAAAAACAACAACGAAAAAAAAACGCTGTTACCGTCAATTTTTAAATACGAAGTAACGCAAAAGTAACGTGGGCTACTTTCTGTCGGTAACGGTATCGAGTACCTTTATTTCACAAGTAATGAATGACGTATCTTTCCTTTTTTTACGGTAACGCCTACAACACTGCGGCTGCATAACGCTGCCAGTAGGGAGCGCTGGGTGATAGCATGTTGACATTCATAATGATCCTGACTGTGTATTAAGTAACGCTGGAAGGGTCGTTCACACACCCACATATTATTAGGTTACACAAAATAGCATTCAATAGGCTCGTAAAATACTCGTTTTGCACCTTAGAAACTGAAAAGTTTGCTAAGGCCCACAGCGATTTTTTTACGAGCAATCTGAAACTGCGAAAAACGGTGTTTTAACTCGGCACTCGAATGCACATTTGCCAATCTAAAGCTAAATCTAGGTGACACAAATAATGTTGAGAGAAAATTCTCAAGCATTTGAAACAGCCAAACCTTTTTGGAGTATTTTATGCGTCAAACAGAATTTATAGCATTTGTGAGAGCTACTCAATCAACCGGAACTAAAGGAAAAAATACAATTTTGTGGTATAAGTAAGCAACTCAGCATGGTACATTTCTCTGATATCAAAAAATATGTATCAATTGCAACTTCGAGTGCTCGGACTGAATGTTCCTTCAGTTGAGCCCAACTTGTTTGCTTACTTTCACCATAGTTGTAGTACTCGGACTTTGGAATGTAACCCCTTTATCCCACGGGAGGAAAACTTTGTGTACCACTTCAGACTCCTGACATTTTCTACCTTCTGGAAAACCTGGCCTACAAAACGTTTTTCAATTCGTGTGGAACCAACCGTTCATGAATATGTCAGGATGTGCTAAGAAGGTGCGAGGCTGGGTGAGTGTTTTCCCGTGTGCGTCTTCGCATACCTGGTGTTGTTAGTTCTCTGGGTACCATAAGATTGGCTGCAGAAGTCGCACCGCCGTCCGTCCTCCCCTCCTGGTCCATCTTCAATGGTTGCCTCTGCAATTCGGTTCTTTGGAAGGAGAGCTCCGCCCCCTTGTCCTCGCAGTTCGTTCTCTGCCATTCGGAGTCGAATGCTGCGTCGGCAAGTTCTGTTAGGAGTGAAGATCAAATTTTCTTTAGTTCCTTTTTTTATACTATACCAATTCAGAAGCCCAATCAGAACGAACTTAAGGAACAAGCAAACATAGACACATCATGCTGATGAAGTAAAGAAATTCAGGGGTTTACATTCCTATTGCGGTGTAATTCAATAAATAAAATAACGACATCACGAAAAAGCACGGGCATCAAACTGAATATTGAAATTCCCGAAAAACATTATTGCAAAAATTGCACGTGAATCATACATAAAAAAAGTGAAAGCCGTTTACAACTCCCTGTAATGCCGAATTGGAGCACAGCTCTTGAGGAGGAGGAGGGGAAGGTACTGAGGGGAGAGTATGCCCCTCCTCCTCCTTCTCCTCCTCCTCCCCTCATTCTTTAATATGCTCCGGGGGGGTCACCTGACCTCGGGGCAGACTTGTACGTAACGCGTTACAAGTAATTGATTACTTGTAATCAATTACAGTTAAGTGTAATTTTGTAACGCTTCAATTACATTTAACGCTCAGAGTATTTCAATTACTTTTTTTCTGTAATCAATTACAAAATCAATTACACAATTACCAATTACATTTTTCATCCCACAATTCTTTTTTTCTCACAAAAATCAGTATAGTCACTCAGCCATGGAGCGAAAATGATTGACATTTTTTTAACATCTAAAAAAAATAAAACTTGGATTAGTCGGCAAATCCTTTTTTCTTTTACGCCACGCTCTTCTACAAGCGCGCCACCAGCCTTGGCTGGGGAGTTCCGGATCTCGTCGCAGATTGCTGATAAAGTCGACGGGAAGCGGGAACTCGCTATTGACTTTTTAGTGGGCTTTGTTCCTTAGGTCGACGCGTCAGCTACACGACAAGGTCCGGGTCTGAAAACAAAAAAGGGAACAATAACCAAACAAAATTGTGTACGCGATATTTTACTGTGTATTTGTGTATTTCTGTCATCGCAATAAGAAGTAACGTGAAAGTAACTTGAAAAGTAATCAATTACTTTGCAGTAATTGTTCAATTACTTCTGGGAGGCAGTAATCAGTAACGGTAATCGGTTACTTTTTTGACTGTAGTAATTGTAATTGTAATCAGTTACTTTTTTTCAGTAACGTGTACAAGTCTGCCTCGGGGGGAGGGGGTCACGTGACCTGGGGGAGGGGGGGGGGGGGGTGTCGCATGACCTTGGGGTGACCTTGGGGGTCACGTGACCTTGTGGTGACCTTCGTTACGCCGACGGCGACGCCGCTCAAGCCGGAAACGGGCGCCTAAGAGCTGCATTCTCAAACGATCCTTATCTATTAAATATGTACTTCAAAGGTTTCACTTCACCTTAAACATGCGGTAAAGGATTACGCCGATACAGTCTCACACAAATTGACAAAGACACAGGTAAATAAAACCAAGGAGCGTGGTTTAGATACGTCACTCCTGCTCTGTAGTGCTGAAAAAAAGGCAGGCATGCCACAGAACCAACAACAGTACGGTATATCACCGCCAAAGATTTTGGGAATTACACGTCAAATAAATGGGCACGGTGCGTCGGCAAGGAAGGTAGGGAAGCGAATAAAAATGTCGCATGTAGTTGGCTGAGCTGTGGCCATTCCTAATTTTATCCGGCTAGTTGGTTCCGGTTTTCTGGGGGAAAATGTAGCCCTCAAGTTGAGCTGGCTGGTGGCTGACCCTCCTTCCTAGGCAGCGAAGGGTTGCTCGCATTTGCATTAAGAGCATTTCCGGTCAGCTCGGCCTGCAAAGTGTAGATTAATGAGTATTAATAAACAGTCGCCAACACAAAGTTACTTTACCTGCCCTCATATATCGTCATATGCGATGAGCAAAGGCTATAACTGAAGGATGCCAGTGCTTGGAATTGGTCTAGTGGGCTATTCATTAGTTCATTAAACTGCGCAGTAAATGATTACGAATTACGACGCAGAAACGAGAAAAAAAGAAGGCAACAAATGGGAAAACGCGCATTTGCAGTTCAGTTTAATCAAGTAAAAAACTGAAGGCCAGTTTCGAGATTAAACAGGGCATGGATAATTACACCACTTGTCAGTAGGAGGGTACCTGCGAGACATTTCAATACGAAGGACGCGAACAAAATAAGTACTATGGGACTACACCATTTCCAAGGGTGAATGTTTTGGCCAAACAGCACTGACAATTTCTATTTCCACGAGAGATGTTTCATTATATATGCAGCGTCAAACCACTAGCGAGGAGGAAAATGCTTGCCGGTTCCGTCTGTGAAGCATCCACACGACTAATGCCACCATTTATAAAATGATATGCAGTGTAGATCAATCAGTCAGCCTCGCATTTTGCCAAACACTAACATAAGCGGGACCCACTTAGGAAGAACGAGTTTTAGCTGAGATACTCAATTGGTTCACGTTCACGAGTTCCCCATTGAAGCGCATCATAAAACGTTATAATTTGGTTAAAATTGATCACCATTCAACACCAGTACAAAGTTTCCAGTCCTTATTGCAACGCAAATGTTTGTTTTCTCCTTTTTATCTCTTCCAACTCAAGACAAGCTTGAGTGGCCTTCTCCTCTTGACCCTAAGAGAAGGTGAAGCGCTTCTTCCGAATATAGAGATAGAGGTTGATTTCTGCGTTGTTTGATCCCGTAATTCTGAAGATATCGCTTGTTTTCCCCGAAGATGTAACTAAACGCGAGAACACACGAAAGACCTCCGACCAGTCTTTACGTCATAAAAGGATCTTTCGGCCGACAAGCGCGTGTCGCTCGTGAGCAGTCGCAGGCTTGCCACACCCCCGCAGTGGCAGCAATCACGGCGTCTTTTTTTTATTTTTAAAAATAGCAAGAGTTGCGTGCGTAACTTCGATGGGCACTGAAGATACGCGAGAGCGGAGATTCCGGAAACTCCTGCTATGATGGCACGCTTTGGGAAGGAGGGGCTTCAGCAGTACTTTGAAAAGAGATTATCTGCTGCCTTTGTGCATGAAATTGGAAAATAATTTCAACATTGGGCTTCCTGAAGGGCAAGTGTGTTTCCTCAATTACAAAACCGCTTCAGCTTCCCTTTGAAGACGTCTTATCTTCAAGACAGACTTGTACGTAGTTCAACTACTCTACTCAAGTTAGTGTAGTTTAACTACTTTTCAGTGTAGTTTAGTAACTGTCAATTACATTTTTATTTCGGTAATTAGTAGTTTACTTTAATTACTTTTTTGAGTAACTTCTACAAAAGTTACAAATTAGTTTCGAATTCTAGTGGTTGTTTTACCTATCAAAAACATTCCTGCACAATAGAGATAAGATGTTGGAAGATCAGCTGATATTTGCAAAGAGGGGGAGGCATGTAGCGTAGGAAGGGAGGGGGGCAGAAAATGGTCTGGAGAGACCGAAGCCCCCCAAAATTTTCACAAGCCCCCTCTCCCCCCCCCCCCTCCCCCCGCACACACACACAATGCAACAACACTGCTACGAGGCGCGGGGAACGAACAGACCCGATGCAAGAGAGGCCGAGTAAAGGCGGGATTACCGCCGAAGACTTGCGTTTCTCTGTGTCCCGAAGCTCAAGGAGACTTGACCCATTTGAAGTAACGGCTGGTCTCCACTTGTCCCAAACGTAGGAACTCTCGCCCACTACAGGAGGGGCACACACTGCTTCCTCACTCAAAGGAGGCAACAAAATGCAGCACCTGCTCGAAACTCATCTGGTGCTCCCGTAGTTTGTGCTGTACTCGAAGAATCGCGTGTACCTGTAGTAATTTTCCCAGCGTTTTTATATAAAAAATAATAAACAAGCAGTGTTGGGAAGTACTCTATGTAGATGGTACTTAAGGCACTACTGTTTAGAAAAACTTGTACTTTAAGTAAATTCTTTGAGCATTTTCTTGTATTTTCCGAGAAAAACTCCCGACTTCAATATACATTCCCCGAATAAGAAAACAAAAAATGGCGGTATCGTCGTGTGAAAACGCGTTCTTTCGAGACGTCATCTGGTCATTTCTCTGAGTGAACTAATGGCGGCTGTAAGACCGATGGAAATAAGTGCCTTATAAGTTGATTGTGTCAAAAAGCTCGTCAGCGAGAGTAAAACAACTACTCTGTGGCGACTTGACCTTATACAATATTTGCTGCCCTTTCCGTAAAAAAACCGATGCACCTCCGATTACGTACCCCTGGAGCAATGCATACCAGTTCAAAAAACACTGTATAGGGAGTGAGAGAGCATCATGAAAGATTGTGTTAAAAGTGCTTATACTTTACCTTAAAGTGTATTGTATTTATATATGTTGCTTCAAGTAGATTGCACATGATGTACTTACTACTTTACTTGAAGTACATAACAGGCCATCATTTACTTTGTACTTTACTTCAAGTACTTTTTAGATGTACTTTACGCAACACTGTAAACACGCAAGCGCTGTCTAAAAAGCCAAGCTCAGACAGTGCTGAACCTTAAAGCGGGGCGCTCAAAATTTTCTTCAGCGTGGCAGAAGATTCCCTCTCGTTTCTTTTTTTCCTCCTCCCCTTCCCTCCTCCATTTTTCTCCTCGCTTTTTACGGCCTTCTCGCACGAGTGCTAATGGGCATACCGGCCCCCCGACAAAATCTTTGTAACCCGTCAAGGTTCTCTGCTTCAATCCCAAACATCACGGATTAGTTCGGCAGGCTGGAATGAGCTCGGAAGGGTTCGGGCTAACTCGCTTTTCTCCTTTTTTTTTTCTTTTTTTTTTTTTTTACTCTTTTGCAGCGCCTCTAAAACATACTCAGATAGTCAACACCAACTAGCCCAAGAACAAGTTCTTTTACATTCAGATACTTCCGCATGCTGCCACATACGCTAAAACACTGCATACTTATCTCGAGTAAACGGAACTTGAACATCACAGCAGAAATAAAAAAGATGGG